GAAAAACTGGATTTAAAAAAAAAAAAAAAGACTTCTGGCAAGATGGAGGCATAGGTGGATGCATTGTACCTCCACGCACAACCAAGATTAGAACAACAACAATTTAGAGGCAGAATAACACTCAGAACTGACAGAAAATTTATCTGAATGGAAGTCGGACAGCCAAGAAGTTGAAGTAGACCCATTTATGCAGACCGGTAGGAGAAGCGGAGACGAGCAGCCAGGCTCGGTGGCGCAGCATGCGCAGAGAGCAGGGTGAATCGGGTGCATAAGGCAACCAGGAGCGTGTAAGGCATCTGGGGCGCGCAAGATCGAGCGGGTGGACCCTGAGCACGCAAGTGGCAGCTGGCGGACCCAGTGAGGCGGCGATTGTGGACCAGGGCAGAGTGTGCAACCCAGGATCCCAGAGAAGGGACTGAGGTCCCAGGAGAACGGAGCTACCTCATTGTTCCCTCCTGCCCCTGCCCCCACCCCCACATACAACATCACAATCTAGCGACTGGGGTGCCCAGCCCCGGTGAACACCTAAGGCTCCGCCCCTCACCGTAACACAAGCGACCACACACCAAAAAAAAAAAAAAGGAGAGAGAGAGACACGTGTCTCCAACAGAAGAAGAGATCAATGCCCCAGGACTCATCCTTTTGAGTGACCAAGAGATAGCCAATCTATCAGATGCACAGTTCAAAACACTGGTGATCAGGAAGCTCACAGAATTGGTTCATTTTGGGCGCAAATTACATGAAAAAATGCAGGTTACCATAAAAGAGATGAAGGAAGATGCACGGAGAACCAATAGTGATGGGAAGGAAACTGGCACTCAAAACAATAGAGTGGACCAGAAGGAAGAAAAAACAACCAAACAGGAAAGAATGGAGAAATAAGAATTCAAAAAAATGAGAAGCTTAGGAACCTCCAGGACATCTTTAAACATTCCAACATCCAAATTATAGGGGTACCAGAAGGGGAAAAGGAAAAGCAACAGATTGAACACGTATTTGAACAAATAATAAAGGAGAACTTCCCCATTCTGGCAAAGGAAATAGACTTCCAGGAAATCCAGGAAGCTCAGAGAGCCCCAAAGAAGTTGGACCCAAGGAGGAACACACCAAGGCACATCATAATTACATTAGCCAAGGTAAAAATGAAGGAGAGAATCCTAGAAGCAGCAAGAGATAAGGGGACAGTCACCTACAAAGGAGTTCCCATCAGACTGTCAGCTGATTTCTCAAAAGAGACCTTACAAGCAAGAAGGGGCTGGAAAGAAGTATTCCAAGTCATGAAAGACAAGGACCTATATCCCAGATTACTCTATCCAGCAAAGCTTTCATTTAGAATGGAAGGCAGATACAGTGCTTCTCAGATAAGGTCAAGTTAAAGGAATTCATCATCACCAAGCCCTTATTTTATGAAATGTGAAAGGGACTTATCTAAGAAAAGAAGATAAAGAAAAAACATGTATAGTAAAATGACAGCAAACTCACAATTATTAACAACCACACCTAAAGCAAAACCAAAAGAAACTAAGCAAACAACTAGATCAGGAACAGAACTACAGAAATGGAGACCACATGGAGGGTTAGCAACAGGGGAGTGGGAGGAGGAGGAGGGGGAAAAGGTACAGAGAATAAGTAGCAGAGATTGTAGGTTGAAAATAGATAGGGGGGAGGGTAAGAATAGTATGGGAAATGTAGAAACTAAAGAACTTATAAGTATGACACATGGACATGACTAAAGGGGGGGATATGGGTGGGAGAGGGTGTACAGGGTGGAGAGGAGTGAAGGGGGGAAAATGGGACAACTGTAATAGCATAATCAATAAAATATATTTTTTAAAAAAACAAGGATTGGGGATCTACTAAGATAATAAGGTATAATAGAGTCCAGATCCTAGAGCCAAGGGAGTTCAGGGGTGAATATAATAGTAAAGTTTTCGTTTTGAGGCATTTGTGGATTCATAAGAGGTGACAGAGAGACCTAGCAGCAGAGTGGCTAGGCAAGAGGCAGCAAAGCCAAGCAGAAGCTTCAGGCGGTATCAGTGAGTCGGGGGAAATTGAATTCAGCACCTAACAAGGAAGAGGGCACTGGTCAACACTTTCAGTTAGGACACTTAAGTGACTATACATTTGAAATAAGGGCTCATCAGAAACAGACTAATTTGTACAAAAATACAATTCCACTTAGCCTTAGTCCCACCCCATACTGAAGTAAGCTGACGTGCGCCTACCTGAACTGCCTGCAAGAAGTAGCAGTGAACTGGAGGAAGGTATCATATGAAGCCTCAAATAAGTGCTACAAATTTTAACCTATAATGTACAGCATCCAATCAAAAGTTACTCTTGTTTTCAAAAGGCAGGGTCAGATAATGAAAGAACAAGAAAAAGAAACAGGAACAGTCCCATGGGAGTTACAGATTTTTCAGTTATTGGTTAGAAACTTTAATGGTGATGAACAAATTCAAGAAAGTAGAAGACAAGATGAAGAATTTAGCAGAGAATTAAAATCTATTAAAAATTAAATGGCAGTTTTTGATTCTGGACAAAAGGGAGTACATGTATTTCTGTTCCTTCTACTAAGCACAGCAGAAGACATGTATTATATATAAAACAATAAGACTCAGAATGGTGGAGAGAAGAAGGCAGAACAGCTAGGGACCTCAGGATCCAAGAAATGACACAGTGGTGAGTTCCGTAGGTTGTCTTTTTGCCTCATATATCCCATAATGGGCACTAGAGAAGCTGGCAACCCAGAAATGTCAAAGTGTGCAGATTGAAAAAAAAAGCCCAAAGAAAAGACTTCCCTGGCCAAAGAAGCAGAAAAGGGGCAGCCTACCACAACAGAATACTTTTAGACAATTGCACTACTCCAGCCAAATTCTCAGTGAATAAAACAAAACTGAGGCCAGCAAAACCGCTGCCAGCAAAGGATGAGTGGGGGCGTACACTCCAGGCTCACCTGGCTGTAATGGAGGCACTCCTTCCCACCTCCTGGGTCAGGTGTCAAAGAAGGCCAAGTGAGGAGCCAGGACTTCCACCATTGCATAGGGGTAACGAGGCCTCCTGCTATGGTGTCAGTGGAGGCCATGTGGGGAGCAGTAACAAGGCACCCCTACTCCTGAAATATCAAGAGGCCAAGGAAAAGCCTGAACTTCCACCCCTACCTGATAGTAACAAGGCAGTTTCCCATCTCCCCTACCAGCACACTATCAGAGAAGTCCTGTCTAAATGGAGATTTAAATACTATCCAGAGATCTGACCTAAAATATCCAGGATACAATTTTTAAAATCATTCATTAAACCAAGAACCCAGAAAATTTCAACTTGAGTGGAAACAGACAACAGATGCCAACATCAAGATGACACAGACCACCCTGGCTGGTGTGGCTCAGCGAATTGAGTGCCAGCCTGTAAACCACAGGGTCGCTGGTTCAATTCCCAGTCAGGGCACATGCCTGGCTTGTGGACCCAGGTCCCTGGATGGGGGTGCATGAGAGGCAAGCACACATTATGTCTCTCCCTCCCTTTGTCCCTCCCTTCCCCTTTCTCTAAAAATAAATAAATAAAATCTTTTAAAAAAGAGAGACAAAACTGTGGAAATTACCCAATCTGAACAAGAGAAAATAGGAAAAAATTAGTAGAGCCACAGGGATGTGTAAGACTTTAACAAATGATCTAGCATTTATGATATTGGAGTCCCAGGAGAAAAGGGAAAGAATATAGGGTGGGATAAGTATTAGAAGAAATAATGGCTGAAAATTTCCCAAATTTGGCAAAACATAAATCTAAGATTCAAGAAGCTGAACAAACCCCAAAGAGGATAAAACCAAACAAATCTACCCTAAGACACATCATAATCAACCTTCTGAAAACAAGAAAAAGTTTTGAAAGCAGTGAAAAAGGAAAGATGCCTTAGTTATGGTAGTAGAACAACTCAAAAAGCCAATTTCTTAGCCAGAAACTGTAGAGGCCAAGAGGAATTGTCACATTTGTCAAGTGCTGAAAAAAGAAGTTGTCAACCCCAGATTCTATATCCAGCAACAGTATCTTTCAGGAATGATGGGAAAATCAAGACATTCTCAGATGAAGGAAAACTAATAGAAATTGTCTCCAGCTGACCTAGTCTTTAAAAAAGGGCTAAAGGAAGTTCTTGAAACAGAAAGAAGAAATTTTGGAACATCAGGAAGACAGAAAGAAAAAGAGTAATACATGGGTAAAACAGTTGGCTTTTTTTGAATTCTATAAATTATATTTGACAGTTGAAACAAAAATTATAACACCTAATGTACTTTTCAATGAATGTAGTGGATTTATTAAAGACAATTATAGATGGGAGTGGGTAAAAGGACAAATGTGATTTAAATACCTTTATCGGAGGTAAAGTTTCTACATTTCGCTGAAACTGGTAAAACGCAGACACAAGTAGACTGTGCTAATTTATGTATCTAAAAGGGTGGGTCTGGACAGCAGATTTTAACAGGTTGTGAGTCTGGATGAGGCACATGGAAGCAGTTAGAACATACTTTCTAGATTTGGTGGCTGGAGAGGAAAGCTGGGCCTCTACCAGCTCTCTGCCGATAGGCGACCACTGGAGAAGAGCACGTAAGTCAGATCCTGGGATAATGGGCCGCAGGCGCAGGTTGGATGAAGAGTTGACCTTGGGAAGAAAAGAGCCTCTGGCTCTGAGAACAGGGCAAGAGGCTGCTACTGAAGCTACACTTCGCGAGACGGTGTGGGCAACAGGGATTCGTGTCCTAGGATGACTTTCTTCTCAACCAGATAGGCTCTGCTGAGAGAGGGGAATAAGCCGAGCTCAGGGAGATGATGCAATGTTACGATGATGACCATTTGGAGAGCGGAGAACGGACACAAGAACCAGAAAGACAAGGAGTGTCCGGCGCCAAGTCTGAGTCAGCCACGCTACTCAAAAGCTGGGAAATGATAAATACACCACCAGGTGGCAGTGTCTGTGGAAGTTCATGTATCCCATCGGCCCTGGCGCCAGGGCGGAAGAAGGCACGGGGGTGACACTCTGGCTTCAGCGCCTCTACTCTCCTATCCCGACTGACGTTGGACAACAAAGATGGCGGCAGGAACCAGCAATTACTGGGAAGGTAAGGGCTAGGCCTTCGAGCAGGTCTCGCTCAGGGGCTGATGAGGACGGGTCTTGAGCGAGGTAGCAGAGGAAAGAGCTTGGACTCCGGAGCGTCCGAGCCGAAGAGCAGGGCTCTCTAGTGGGAGCCACGGGGCCTGGGGGCGGAGAAGACCGACCGGTTTGGGGCAGGGGGCTGACTTGGGAGGCAGCGGGACCTGGGGCAGGGGTTGGACAGCGAGGGCTGAGCAGGGATGGAAAGGAAGACGGCCCAAGGTGCCGGAGGCGAACTAGGTTGAGAGGGTAACGGATAAGGGGCTTGAGTGTCCGGCGAGAATATCCCGAGCCCGGGAGACCGGAGGAGTCAGCGCCTTAGACAATTGAGTAGGAAACGGGAAAGGAGGAACTTGTCATTCCGGTCCATCGAGGGAAAGTTGTAGGAGCGGAATCTCCCCTAGGCCGTCCCCTTGGCTGCTTCAGTCTGGGACTTCGAGGATTGGGTGTCGAGTCGCGTTTGATGGTAGAGGAAATAACTTTATCCTCTGCTCCGGAGATCCGTTTTGTTAAACAGAGAAAGTTGAGAGAACTAGTGTGATTTGTAATTATTGTATTTGCTATACCTCTTCCACCAAGTACGTTTATTTAATTCCTGAAAATATGGTCGGGTAGAGTGGGCTCACGTAGAACTCATCTCCTGGACCATGATGGTAACGGAGAGAAGGCTCACCTTTTTCTTGCAAGTGTGTCTGTTTGCTTTGCTGCAACGTAGAAACTGCTCTCCGAGTCCTTTCTTCCTTTTTAACCTGTTTCCTGTTGCTATCCACTGAAGCTTCTGGAAGCCACCACAAATAACAGTATTGTCACTGTCAGCCACTGGGTTTAATATACTTAATTCTAAGTTCATCCATACTTGCCTGTCATACTTTCAAAATACTTTTATTGATGTTTTCTATGGGAGAAGACAGTTATTAGCTACAGAGAAGTGAGCTTATTGTTTAAAACATTAAAAATGACTATTTCAAATGTGTGTCCTAGCTAGAAAATATTTTAAAATTTTGTAGAAGTAGCTATTGGTAATACCAGTGATTATTAGGCTGTAGTTTTTGGAAGCACCATGCTTTAATAATTATAGCGGCTTATTATTGACAACCTACTCTGAGCCAGATGCTTTAAACTCATAGTTTCTAATGCATAGAAAATCCCTGAAAGTGGAGGTTTAAAAAACAAAAAGCTGAGGTTCATAGATTAAGTAGATTGTCAGTAAATCTCTAAGCCAGTTCTCAGAATCTCAGAACTTTAGGCTGGGCTGAGTTTCTGAGATTTGGTTTCTGAGAAAATATGCTCTACTGTTTTATGCTGCTTCTTACCTCTGGTTGCTGATAAGTATATTGAAATAATATTTTGTATTCATCGTTACTGAAAGGTGAGATCCTTAGGCGATTCTTCCAATGTTTCAGCCCTTTCATTTTGACCTCCACTTTACTGTGAGTGAGATCACTTATATCTACATGGGATCTTTGGGCTGTGACTTCTCCACTCAACCACTTAGATGTAAACTATTCCAGTTTTCTCTGCTAGCTTGTTTGCTTCTGTTCTTTTACTGCTTATGTTGTTATTTTTGTCATAATTACATTTGACCTTGTTAGTAGCAATTGCCATTGTTAATTTCGGCCTACAAATTTGAGTAAGTTTACTGAAAGACAATTTTTTAAAAGTCTCTGTCAATGATTTTTTTCCTTATGCTCAATTACTAAGTCATTCTACTATTAAGAATATCATAAGCCTAATAAAGTTTTAGAACATAAAGAGATAGGAAAATCCCTGTCAAAAACAGTGATGGCTTCTTTTTTACAAAGTTAGATAGTAAATCAATAGAATCCGTTATAAACCATAGTCAGTTTCTTTCTTATTTGTATTTTCTGTTCTTTTCCCCTAAATTACAAAATGTCTCTGTCACTATAGAAATCATTTCAGGGATGTTAGAACATCATTTGTTGTCTAGCTGTGTTTGGAATGAAGCTAGAAATTTGCATTGCTCCATCCCTGCCCCACCTAAAGTTTAAAATAAGTGGCAGTTTGCTTTGTTGGGTGTATCTCTGGTTTCTTCCTTTTAAATTTTTTTTTTGTTTTTATTTTTTATCTATTTATTTTTTAAAAGAACTTCCTCAATTTCTTTTTTTAAAGATTTTTTTTTAAGATTTTATTTATTTATTTTTAGAGTGGGAAGGGAGGGGGATAGAGAGAGAGAGAGAGAGAGAAACATCAATGTGCAATTGCTGGGGGTTATAGCCTGCAACCCAGGCATGTACCCTGGCTGGGAATCGAACCTGCGACACTTTGGTTCGCAGCTCATGCTCAATCCACTGAGCTACGCCAGCCAGGAAAAATTTTTTTTATTGAACCTAGATCAGTATATGATCATTTTCATAGTTTGTTTCTTCAGAATAGTTTTGTGAGTTTTATGTTTACTGATAGACTTTTTGTGACTGATGATTTGTTTTTATAATTTTGTTAAAGATCTCAGGAAACAGGCTCGACAGCTGGAAAATGAACTTGACCTGAAACTGGTTTCCTTCAGTAAACTGTGTACGAGTTACAGTCACAGCAGTGCCCGAGATGGAAGGCGCGACAGGTATAGGTACTACCAGATTCTCTCTCTTATGCCTTAAACTATATGTTTTTAAAAGCATTAAAAAATACACTAAAATATGTAACTCTGTAATTCATTCTACCAGTAAATTTGGTATTTTATTTTTTATGTTATTTTTTGTTTGTTTTTAGTGATTTATAAAAATTCTTAATTCTTGAGACTAGGGTTTATTTGGGATCCTTAGGCAAAGATTGTGACACTATCAGGGAAAATGCTAAGGGTTAAGAATGAGTGTGTGTCTAGGCCAGTCAGTTTAAGGAAATGTGGTTGATTTTTCCACATTGTATTTCTTATATCTTCTGGTTGCTAAATGGATGTGAGGAACTACCCAAATGCCAAGTATATGTACTGCTCTTCTGGCATTCTAGAATGAATCTAATGTAGCGTGTATGCTCGGTATTAATTATCCAAGCTATTTTTAATTTTGTTTTTTTTATGAGGAACCACTATACTACTATATTGAACATATAGAATACGTTCTTTTTTTAAAATGAGGTAAACTGGTTAATTACATTACATAAGCTTCAGGTGTACAGCATTATAATTCAATATCTGTGCACAATAGTGTGTTTACAAAAAGTCTGGTTTCCATCCATCACCATAATCTGACTCCCTTTACCCATGCTTGCTCTTCTCCTACTCACCTTCCCCTCTGGTAACCACCCATCTGTTGTCTGTGTCTTTGAGTTTGTCTTTGTTTGTTGGTTTGGGTTTTTTTGGTTTTTATTCCACATATAAGTGAAATCATATGGTTTTTGTACTTGTCCATCTGATTTATTTCACTTAGCCTGTTGTCACAAATGGCAGTAGTCTTATCTTTTTCATGGCTGAGTAGTATTCGTGTGTGTGTGTGTGTGTGTGTGTGTGTGTACACCACATCTTTATAAATTTATTCATTGAAGAACACTTAGATTATTTCCATATCTTGGCTATTATAAATAATGCTGCAGTGAACATAGGGGTGCCTATATCTTTTCAAATTAGTATTTTTATATTCTTCAGATCAATACCCAGAAGATGAACTGCTGAATCATATGGTAGTTCTACTGGAAAATGTATTCTTAACTTTGAATCATACGCTCACTTCAGGCCATTCACTTGTTTAAAAGAATACTGGGCCCTGGCCGGTGTGGCTCAGTGGATTGCATGCTGGCCTGGGAACCCAAAGGCCGCCAATTCGATTCTCAGTTGGGGCACGTGCCTAGGTTGCAGACCAGGTCCCCAGTTGCGGGTGCGTGAAAGGCAACCTGTTGCTGTATCTCTCACACATCAGTGTTTCTCTCCCTCTCTCCTTCCCTTCCCCCTCTCAAACAAACAAATAAATAAATGCTACTGATGTCACATAGCTTTTATTGCACTGCATTGCTTTGGGTTCACCTTTATTTAGCAAGTATTATAAAAGAGAACAAGGAATGTTCTTTTCTAAGTTAACTTATTTTATCCCTGGAAAGCATACTTCCTGAATTTAAGTCTCTCATTTGCCTATGCCAATGATTATACAACTTTAAAACTCCAAATGAAATAGTTAAGAGATACAATAGCATGACGTATTTTCTGTGTTCTCTGTGCTTCATGAACTTAATGCTTTTGTGACTCCTTTAAAGGAAAAACTATGTTGAAAACATTCCTTAAGAAATTTTGCAAAAAACTGGGACTACGTGGAATTACTTCAGCCTAACTGTCCCCTTCAGTAAGAACCCTAAGGCCATGAGGATTAAGGTCCAGTTTGCATTCTGACTATTTGGTTAGTTGCCCAGGTTGAAAGCATGTCACAGTGAATAAAGTCAGTGATAACCAGATTTTTCTTTCTAGGGTAATTTTTTTACTTCCTGTATGTTGAGAACTTAATGGCCTGTGCATCATCACATACCTATAAAATGAATTAAATTTAATTGAATTTTAGTATTATGGAGAATGGCTTTTTGACCATTTCCCTGGACTCACAAACTCTCCTGAGAATGGTGAATGTAGAGATTGCCTCGTCATTCACTCATTAGTATTCAGTCTACCAGATGCCAAGCAGTATTTTAGGAGCTAGGTGTACAGATGAATAAGACATAGACAGCTTCCCTCCTCATGAAGCTTACATTCATTGGCCAATTTTTCTGTTTTCATATATGTTATAGTAGAAGATTTGTATTAGTAGTATACAGAGAATTTCCCCCAGGTACACTCAAAGATATAACTTCAGAACCTTGGATTGGCTCTGAAATGTAATAAAGAACTAGATATTTTTATATATTTTAAGGCAGATAGATTGAAATAGTTCAAAAATTAAAAATTTGGACCTAGTTAAACATCTTAAAATAAAAATTCCTATTAGCTACTTTGTAGCTGTTTCACTGTGTGTTACTGTTGCTATGGAAGGTGTTGGAGAAGAAAAATAGTAGTGGCTAAGTTTGTTTGATGTTGAACTGATGCCTGAGTCTGTTTTCATTTGCCGTGCATACACCTGATCACTGTCACAGGGCAGGACAGAGTCTTCAGTGAAATTGCAGAGCGTAGTTATTGCCTGAGTATTTATTATCTGTGTTCATTATAACTAAGATAGGTATTAAACTGCTCATAATACATACCACTTGGGGGACCTCATGAAGGTAGAGGTTTTTCAGAAGAGGCCAAAGAAACTTTTGGGCAGTGGTTTTAGAATTTGAATCTGCCAAACATAAAAGTGGAAATGTAGAGGGTTGCTACTGAAAGTTATTTGTTGGACATGGCTATCTATATTAGACTTAAAGCCAGTTCCTGATTATTTAATAACTAGTTATCCAATCTATAGATCATTTAAATCTCAATTTTATTTCTTCTTGGTAAGAGTCAAGGAAAGAAGAGAGAACTTAATATAAGGTCTACGCAACCATAATTGCTTTGGGGTAAAAGTTAAAAGATTATTTCTGACAAATCCCATAGCATAATTTATAATAGATTTTATGGCTCCTCTTATGTGCTGTACTACGTAGTTCTACACTTTCATTTCAGATGATTTGTTCTTTTAGATTCAGCATTTAATTGAGCACTGCCATAGTTTAAGTTACTTTCATTTGGGAAACAGTAAACAAGCTTTTGGAATTTCTTTACATTACTATGATTGACTGTATTAAAGCTCGGGAAAATCTTACATTCAATGATATTTAATATAGTGAATTTAATATCTAGGGCATGTGTGATCTTTATAGGAAAACTTCTATAAAAATTACAGTTTCTTAAGAAACAGAATGTCTCAGAGATTGCTCTTCACCTCTTTAAGAGTAATTACCTTATTTTAAGTATGTTTTAAAGGATTAGGTTTAAGTAATGGATTCTCTTTATTTGAACTTCTCCTTAGTTCTGACACAACACCCCTTTTAAATGGATCAAGCCAAGACAGGATGTTCGAAACAATGGCAATTGAGATTGAACAGCTTTTGGCAAGGGTAAGCTCTTCTATCAAATGGCTATTTTGCTAATAACTGTGTACTTGTTAGTTATGGTACTAGATTATATTAATGCAGACATGTTTATAGAAGTCATGTTTCATTCAAGTTGTGTGTTTCCTGGGCCCCTTGAGTTTTGATGACAGCCATCACCAGGTCCTATGAGAGTTATTTTAGCTTTTATGTATTATTTGGTGGAAGTACTGATTCCTTGCCTCCTGTCTTCTGGTTTTGGGTTTCTTTTTTGCTGTTAGCCAAAGGGCAAACAGGCAAATAATTTACTTTTGTCTCTTTAGAGTGCTTTCTAAAATATTTTTAATATATTTTTTCTTTCTTTTTTTCCTTTTTTTTTAGCTTACAGGAATAAATGATAAAATGGCAGAATACACCAACAGTGCAGGTGTCCCCTCCTTGAATGCAGCTCTGATGCACACACTACAGCGACATAGAGACATACTGCAGGTAACACACTGGGTTGAGGTTTTTATGTTGTTATAGGGTTTCTTAAATCCCCCCAAAATGTGTGCCCATGTATTTAAGATAACAAAGGGGGAAATCCTCTGAGAGGAAAAATGCCATGCTATAGAAGTTTGTCTTCTTTCATTTTTTTGATATTATAAAATTCTGAGGATGTTTAATAACTAGTATCTCTTTTGCTTTTTGCCTACTAAAATTGAATAATATTCATCAGTAGGTAAATATTCTGTGGGAAACCTTGCTAACTGTAACCATGAAAATAGCCAGTGGTCGTGCATAGATAATAATATGGTGGTTTAGAGTATACTTTCATTAGGCTTCAAAAATAACATGGAAGAAGAGTAATTTACTAGATTTAGTCCATTGATTGAGAAAATATTAAAAGTGTAACAACAAAATGAACTAAACTCTTAAAGATTTATATATGGGCCCTGGCCGGTGTGGTGCAGTGGGGTGAATACTAGACTGCAAAGCACAGGGTCGCTTGTTCAATTCCCAGTCATGGCACAAGCCTGGGTTGCAGTTCAGGTCCCCAGTAGAGGGCACACAAGAGGCAACCACACATTGATGTTTCTCTTTTTCCCTATATCCCTTCCCTTCTCTAAAAAGAAATAAATACAATCTTTTAAAAAATTATAGCCTTGGTTGGTGTGGCTCAGTGGATTGAACACCGGCCTGCAAACCAAAGGGTCACCAGTTTGATTCCCAATCATGGCACATACCTGGGTTGCAAGACAGGTCCCTGGTGGGGGGTGCACGAGAGTCAACCACACATTGATGTTTCTCTCCCTCTCTTTCTCCTTCCCTTTTCCTCTCTCTAAAATCAATAAATAAAATCTTTTTTAAAAAGTTATGTATGGGGCGTTAATATATAGTATACAAATAGGAAGGCAAATCTTTTTAATATTGAAAAAATTTAGCAACCATTTCTAATTTTAAAAACGCATGTTAAAAATAGGAATGGAAGGCCCTGATTAGTGTGGCTCAGTTGGTTAGTCATTGTTCTACAAAGTGAAAGGTTGCTGGTTCAATTCCTGGTCAGGGCAAATGCCTGGGTTTCAGGTTTGGGCCCTAGTCAGGTGCATATGAGAAGTAGCCGATTGATGTTGCTCTCTCACATCAATGTTTCTCTCCCTTTCTTTCCCTCTCCCTTCCCCTCTCTCTAATTAATAAATGGGAACAGAAGGATACTTCAGTTGCCTAATGCAAATAAGTATGTATCAGATTAAAAGCTAGCATCATGTTTAATGATAGCACCCTAAAAGCATTCCCATTAAAGGTAAAAAAATACCCAATATTACCATGATGTTTAACATTGTTTTGGAAGTTCTTTGTGGTACAATTAGATAGTAAAAAGAAACAAGATAATGGAAGAGACAAAATTTGTGCTTTGTGGCAATGATAAGATTATGTAGTTAATACAACCAAGAAAACTAACTAAAAAAATATATTAGAAACAAATTCAGTGAGATGGTAAATTGCTAAATTAATATATAAAAGCAAGTGGTTTTTCTCATACAAACAATAACCTTTTAGAAAATACAATGAAGCCCTGGCTGGCGTAGCTCAGTGGATTGAGCGCAGGCTGGGAACCAAAGTGTCCCAGGTTCGATTCCCAGCCAGGGTACATTCCTGGGTTGCAGGCCATAACCCCCAGCAACCGCACATTGATGTCTCTCTCTCTCTCTCTCTCTCTCCTCCCCCCCGCTCCTTTCCCTCCCTAAAAATAAATAAATAAAATCTTTAAAAAAAAATACAATGAAAGAAACTATAATATCCTTACATATAAATTTAATAAGAATGCATAGGATTTGTGTGTATGAAACTCTCCTGAGGGATGCAAAAGGTTTACTCTGCTTTTAGATGGGAAGATTTCTCTCTAAAACAGCCTATAAATTGAATGCCTTTCCAATGGAAATAACGGGTTTTTTAATTTATTTCCATTTTTTAATTGGAAAAATGACATCAGAGTTTATTTGGAATCGTAGACATACAAGAATAACCAAGAAAAAACATGAAAAAATTAAGATAAGTAGTAAATAAGTTAGTTCTACCAGATATTAAAACCTGTGAAGAAGGTAGAATGATTAAGAGTTTTATTCTAGAGAAAAAGAGATCAGTGGAACAGAATAGAGTTCATTTATAGACTGAAATATGCATGGAAATTTAGTTTTACTCTAAAGGTAGTATTTTAAATCAGTGGGAAAGAGAGGGATTATAAAATAAATAGAAGCTGTAACAACTGATTTATTGTTGGGTAGAGGGGAACCAAACCTCAAATTCTGTCTCATTTCTTCCATCCAGAATAAATTCAAAATGGGTCAAAGATTTATATGTAGAAAAAGAAACCATGAAAGTTCAGAATAAAGCATTTTGGGTAGTAAAGAACTTTCTTTTCTTTTTTTTTTTTTGTAGTTTGCTGCTATTTTATTTTTTAATTTTTTTAATATATTTTATTGATTATGCTATTACAGTTGTCCCATTTTTCCCCCTTCACTCCCCTCCACCCTTATACCCCTCCCACCCATATCCCCCCCTTTAGTCATGTCCATGTGTCATCAGTTCTTTAGCCTCTACATTTCCCATACTATTCTTACCCTCCCCCTGTCTATTTTCAACCTACAATCTATGCTACTTATTCTCTGTACCTTTTCCCCCTCCTCCTCCTCCCACTCCCCTGTTACTAACCCTCCATGTGATCTCCCTTTCTGTGGTTCTGTTCCTGTTCTAGTTGTTTGCTTAGTTTCTTTTGGTTTTGCTTTAGGTGTGGTTGTTAATAACTGTGAGTTTGCTGTCATTTTACTATACATGTTTTTTCTTTATCTTCTTTTCTTAGATAAGTCCCTTTAACATTTCATAAAATTAGGGCTTGGTGATGATGAACTCCTTTAACTTGACCTTATCTGAAAAGCACTTTATCTGCCCTTCCATTCTAAATGAAAGCTTTGCTGGATAGAGTAATCTGGGATATAGGTCCTTTTCTTTCATGACTTGGAATACTTCTTTCCAGCCCCTTCTTGCCTGTAAGGTCTCTTTTGAGAAATCAGCTGACAGTCTGATGGGAACTCCTTTGTAGGTGACTGTCCCCTTATCTCTTGCTGCTTCTAGGATTCTCTCCTTTATTTTTACCTTGGCTAATGTAATTATGATGTGCCTTGGTGTGTTCCTCCTTGGGTCCAACTTCTTTGGGACTCTCTTCTAGGAAATCTCCTGGATTTCCTGGAAGTCTATTTCCTTTGCCAGAATGGGGAAGTTCTCCTTTATTATTTGTTCAAATACGTGTTCAATCTGTTGCTTTTTCTCTTCCCCTTCTGGTACCCTTATAATTCGGATGTTGGAACGTTTAAAGATGTCCTGGAGGTTCCTAAGCTTCTCCTCGTTTTTTTGAATTCTTATTTCTCCATTCTTTCCTGTTTGGTTGGTTTTTTCTTCCTTTTGGTCCACTCTATTGTTTTGAGTACCAGTTTCCTTCCCATCACTGTTGGTTCTCTGTGCATCTTCCTTCATCTCTTTTATGGTAACCTGCATTTTTTCATGTAATTTGCACCCAAAATCAACCAGTTCTGTGAGCTTCTTGATCACCAATGTTTTGAACTGTGCATCTGATAGATTGGCTATCTCTTGGTCACTCAAAAGGATGAGCCCTGGGGCATTGATCTGTTTTTCTGTTTGAGACATGTGTCTCTCTCTCTCTCTTTTTTTTTTTTGGTCTGGTCGCTTGTTTTATGGTGGGGGGCGGAGCCTTAGGTGTTCACCGGGGCTGGGCACCCCAGTCGCTAGATTGTGATGTTGTATGTGGGGGCGGGGGCGGGGGGAACAATGGTGGCAGCTCCGCTCTCCTGGGACCCCAGTCCCTTCCCTGGGATCCTGAGTTGCGCGCTCTACCCTGATCCACAATCTCCGCCTCACTGGGTCCGCCAGCTGCTGCTTGTGTGCTCAGGGTCCACCCGCTGCGATCTTGTGCACCCCAGATGCCTTACATGCTCCCAGTTGCCTTATGCACCCAGTTATCCCTGTTCTCCACACGCTGTGACCCGCACTTGGCTGCTCGTCTCCGCCCCTCCTACCGGTCTGGATGAACGGGTCTAGTTCAACTTCTTGGCTCTCTGACTTCCATTCAGATAAATTCTCTGTCAGTTCTGGGTGTTGTTCTACCTCTAAATTGTTGTTGTTCTAATCTTGGTTGTGCGTGGAGGTACGGTGTGTCCACCTATGCCTCCATCTTGCCAGAAGTCTGTAACGGTCTTTCTGAGCAAGACCTAATACCAGAAACTATAACAAATAACTAATTTGTTTAATATACAGAGAAATAAGAAAAAGATACCCTACTATGAAAATGGGCAAAGGGTATGAACTTGTGTAGAGAAAATGAGTAGCCAAAACCACAAAAAGATGTTCAGCTGCATTCCCAAATAAAAAGATACAAATCAAAATGAGACATGATTTTTCACCTGTCAGATTAGCAAATATTGAAACATTTGTGACCTATTATTGACAAGAGTGCAGGAAATGAACATTTCATCTATTTTACTGGGAACACAAATGAGTGCAGTCTGATTTAAATGTAAGATTCTTTGATCCAATTGTTCTGCTAGGCACTTACTCTTTACAGTTTAATAAGAGAGAGTTCAATAAAATATATGAGAATGTTTATTGTGACATTTTTTAACAGCAAATAAAGCAACTAAAATGTTCAGTAGGCAATTTATCAAATTATTGTAGAGTTATAAGGTAGAATTCTATATAGCTATTAAAAACAATGTAGATATCTATATGCCAATATGGAAAGATTACTTGATATTTTATGAACTACAAAAAACAAATGTACAGCAGAATATAATGTATTTTCTTTAGAATAAATGAACTTGTATATGCAAAAACATATTTCCTGAAAGAAGACTAAAGTGATGATTATGTCATAAACTGTAGAGCAGGATGTTTTTGCTTTTATTCCTTTTGGGGCTCCTTTAGTATTTTCCCTATGTTTGTGTATTATTTTTGTTTTTTAAAGGGTCAGTAGGGACTTTCTGAGGGATGGATTATGAGTTTCATCTTTTTTACCTCTCTGATTTCTAAAAAGTAATGAGTACTCCTTAATTGCTTTAAAAATATAGTAGTAGGAAAAGGAAAGGAAAATATTTAAAGCTTATTTTGTTTTTACAATTCTCTTGGTTTTGTTCTTCCTTTGACAGGTTTAATAATTAAATTTCTGTTGGAGATCCAAAAGGTTGAAATTTGAAAATAAGCCTGTTGGGTGCATGGGTGATTAGAAAGAGCCCCTAAGTTTTATCGTAGGCTATTTGAAGTCATTTTGTCTTAATTATTTTTTACTTTACAACTCTGTCCCATTAAGACAAGGTACTAGAAGATATGAAGGACAGTGATTTCGTGGCACTGTTATCCCGACACCAAGTTGTTTTCATTTCAAAGAAGTTGGTCACTTCAGAAAAGTGATGATATTTTTTACCTTGTGGCTGTTTGATTTCTTACATAGCAGTTTTCTTGACGGAAGTTTATAATCTGATGACAATGTGATGACAATACATAACTGGCTCCATAAGATGAAAATATATAATTGGCTTACATTGAGACTGGATATTGATTTATTACAGGATTATACACACGAATTCCATAAAACCAAAGCAAACTTTACAGCCATACGGGAAAGGGAGAATCTCATGGGATCAGTACGAAAGGATATTGAGTAAGTTACCTTTCATGTTATTTTGTAAAATGTTAATTCAGATACAGATTTAGACTATATCCATGATTAACAGGAAAATTGAGCAGCAATAAAAATTGAGAATCATAGTTTAGATTTCAAGGTTTCTAATTCCATTTCACTGTTCTTTAAACATTGCTGATACAATATGGCCCTCGTCTACTTTGCTGGGCTTAACTGCAGCTTCCTCTGATTTGGCCCTTGGCTCCTTCAACCTGGCTTTGCTGTATTAATTCAGAGTCCAACTTGGATGATACCTTCAGGAGTTGTTCTCTGAGCTCCTACCACCCACCGTAAGAACTGTAACATTACCAGTAACTGAAGCTGTCTGTGTTTTTCTTCCTGATAACCACCCACCCCTCTCCTCTCTCTTGCCCCTACTATTATATATTCAGGGAACTATTAAAGTGGCTTTTACTTTTCTGGAATCTGAAATATGTTTCTTCCAGATTTTATACAAACTTATAGTCTTATGTAAAATTATTTATGGACTCCCAATATTTTTATGCTGGTCTCAGTCCATAATTTTAAAGATTTGTTCTTTTCTTACATTCCTTTACTTCACCTTCAGTAATATATAACATTTCATACACATTTTTGACATTTTTTCACAATTGAACACAGGTGACAAGGCTGAAGCCCTTGGGCATCTTATTAAAGCTGAAGACTTCCCACTGTTGGACCGTCTGTTGATGCCCATCACTGTCTCACTCGTGATAAGTTTATGATGTTCATAAGTAAGGACGATACTTACGTTTCACAAACTGTGATACATCTCACCACGTCATGAACTGATGAAAATCTTGTGCGCTCTGAGAAACATTTCCCTTGAGACCCTTTATTTTTTTGTAACAGTAAGACAGTTTTATAGCAGAAATAACTGAATATTTATTGCATTCAAAACTTTTGTTCAGAACTCTCACCCAGGATTATCCAGCCATCAAAGTTATGTTTCTACCTCCAGAAATTATGTTGGAAAAATAATTTCTACTGTTTGTCTCTGTTTTTATGTTTTTTTATGTTTAATCATATGCACTTTGTGTAACATATGGGAGTAAAAAAACTAAGCAGTTTTGCCATAATTAGGAACTTTGTAATACTTTTAGTTCTCGGAAACATATAAAGCTTTTGTTTAATTTCTGTACATTCTATTTACATGTACCTCTTAAGGAATGCGTTGAGGACCAGAGTAGGGGACAGCCTTTAATATACAGGCATTTTTAGCTTTCCCATTGTTGGTGGAAATGACTAGAAGACAGCCCACTGTAACAACTTGCTTTGTGAAGGATGGTCATAAAAGAAACATATTCACCTATTTACTAAGCTGTTTCTTGGTTGCCAACCAGGAGTGAGACACTGCATCAGAGATCGTAAAGACCGGAATGAAAGGACCAACTTGGCCCTCTAGGAGTTTATAATCTAGTTGTTAAGAGTGTCGTAATCCACATTCTGAATTAATATAATGTGAAGCAGACTACAATTAGTTAGATGAGATATAGTAATAAGTGCCATTTTAAACTTTTTTGCAATTACCACTTTTTTAGTTTCATATAATCTTTTGGTATTTATAGACATTATTAGTTTTGTTTTATAAAACTAGATATAAAGAGACTCATCGAAGGTTGTTAACTGGCTAGTAAGTGATGGAATATAGATTTAAATCCAAACCATCAGTCTTCCAAGTCCACAGTGCTCTTAGTTATAACATTCTGCTTTTCCTGTGGTTTTCTTTCCCACTGTGGTTTGCACATTAGCACTGCCTCTCAGCCAGTATTTGAGCAACATGACCCTCTTTTGTCTTCCTCTTTTGTAACTGCAGTATATGTGCAGTTACTTGAATTTTTTATTTTGTTCTTGATACTTTATTGTAAGTAAAGAACAGAGATGTGGAAGTTTTGATAGTAATGGTACAAGGCATTTCCTTGTGAATGTTAATGTGCTTAAGACCAAGACAGAAATCCTGAGGCGTGCCGAAATTGGCAGGTCTGGAGCTCCATTTTGGTGCTCCTGAGGCTGCAGTAGACGGACCTCACGCACCACTGTGAAGGGATCCTTCTGCTTTGGCAGCCTTCCCATCCCGCGTGCTGTGCAGTAGTCCACCCAAAGGTTTACATTCCACTGGGAGGAAATAAAGATATAGGAGATGATAGACAGAATGAAAAAGTAAGGTTTTTGTTTATTTAAGAGTATTAGGTTATTTTGGTGAAAAAATAATAATAAACTCTTAGGCCTCAATTAGAGAGAGGCATTCATATTTATTTATAGTAGATGCCACTTTTAAAAGGAGATGAAAAGGAATATGTATTTTAATTGCTCGCTTAAAACTATGGAGAGGCTCAATTTGTCTACTTTGGATATTACTAAAGTCAGTTAATCTTTTTTTAGCAGTATGTGCCAAAAATGTTCATAAATTTTCTCTCTTTTCTTCTAGATCATATAAAAGTGGGTCTGGAGTAAACAACAGAAGAACTGAACTATTTTTGAAAGAACACGAGCACCTTCGAAAGTAGGTATTACTGAATGTATGCATGCATACTCTGTAGTTTCCTATACTTATTCATTTACTTGTATAAGAAATTTTATGGTGTTTATTATAGTAAGTGCTTTATCAATGCTAATTTGTTTAATTCTTCCAATTGACCCTGCTCAGTAGAAATGGAATTGCAACTGTTCCAACCGTAATTAGGAAAGATACGCTGTTAATATAAAAAATCTACATTCACATCACTTGTTACCTGAAGCATGTCTTTTATTGCCTGTATTTTTACTTTAGTAAGTCTATTGCTCTAGTGCTTTTGTTTACTTCCATAGGTTATTAGTAATAATAATGGTAATAATACTGATGACTTGTGTTTCAATTGCCAGACACCACTTACATATGTCAAGAAGCGTTATAGCCCTGGCTGGTATAGGTCAGTGGAGTGAGTGCTGGCCTGCGAACAAAGAGTCACTGGTTCAATTCCCAGTTGGGGCACATGCCTGGGTTGCAGGCCAGGTCCCCAGTAGAGGGTACACAAGAAGCGACCACACATTGATGTTTCTCTCTGTCTTTCTCACTCCCTTCCCCTCTCTAATAATAAATAAATAAATAAAATCTTAAACAAAAAAGAAGCCTTATAAAGAGTAATTAGCCATCCATCAAATCCAAAGGAAATATCTTATTTTCTAAGAATTCAAAGGAAAATGTCTAAAAACTTGGATAAACTATATATATCACATTTATTTATTTACTTACTTACAAATGCAAGTCACCATATTCTGTCCCTGCTTCATCAGTTTTTTTCTCTGATATGTACTGATTTCTTTAATTATTTTCTCTGTAGCTTGTCATGGAAGTTAAGGATCAGAAAATTATGTACCTCTGTGAGCTCGGCCCCTGAGCATCTGAACTGCTAGTATCCATGATAGTTCAGTGTTATGAGTTACGTTGAGATTTGGTGCTGAATGTCATAAACTAATCGTGTTCTTATGAGCTTAATGTACTGTTCAATTTACTTTTTTTTAAAGATTACCACTTAAGTATAAACTGTTGAAATCAGAACATGGAAAGATCAAGACCTTTTTAGAAGTCTGGGTGCTTCTAGTGGAACGTAGTGCAACAGTGTTTAGTGTTCTTCCTTAATCTGCTGAATACTACGGACTGGCACAAGGGGTCAGTCTTCCCTAGAGTGTGTTTACCTTGTAGTTATTCATAGCATTAGTGGTTCATTTTGTATCCGATAAAGAGAATTTTGGCATTGCATTTAAAAGTATATTAATATATTTTTGGGGTACAGACTAATTTAAGGGATAAGATTCTCTAGTAGGACAGAATAAGGATTAGATTGTGTCAGTGTTTTTGTATTTATTGCCTCAAAAAAATTAAATGTAGTAGTTTAATTACTTTAAGAATGATGTTATTGAAAAGATATACCAGAGTAATTATATGAATTAATATCTTCCATTTTTTTATTTCAGAACACCTTGTTTATTATAAATTTTATATGAAAATTTGTAATTTGGCATTTATTTTAATAATTCAAAGAAAACCCTTTAGGAGTTGAATATTGTCCACTTTACAGGAAAAAAATATAATTCAGGGAGTCATGTCTTAAATAGTTTATTCACAGTTACAAAAATGACAGGAGAATTAGAAATCAGAAAGGTATTTCCTGTTTTTGGTTGTCAATTTTATATATGATACACTTTACTCTCATTCCTTTTAACATTCTTGTGAAAGATTTTGTGTGTGCTCATTTTATACATAGAGAAACTGAGACAGGATGAAGTTGGATGGAATATGAATTAATGAATTTGAGAAATTGTTAAGACTAAAAACAAGGTTTTAGACCTGGCCAGGTGGCTCAGTTAGTTGGAGGGTCACCAAAAGGTTGCGGGTTGGACCCCAATCAGGGCACATACCTAGGGTGTGAATTCAGTCCCTGGTCAGAGTATATATGGGAGGCAACTGATCAATGTTTCTCTCTCTCCCTCTCTCTCTCGCTCAAATCAATGAATATATCCTTGAGTGAGGATTTTTTAAAAAATTGTTTCACTTTTTATTTTGTGATTTTAGCTGAATTTTCCTGAGGTCACATGGCTAATAAATTCAAACCCAGATCCTCTGGTTGTGTTGCTTCTGCAAAACTGCACTGCTTCTCAAAGATGAGTCCACAGTGTCCACTTTACAGAGTTGCTAAGTTAATGCATGTAAAAGGCTTAGTAAACTGTGAGGCATTTCTGTATAAAGCAGAACATAATAAGGGGTATAAGAGTAAGAAAAACAGCCCTGGCTGGTGTGGCTCAGTGGATTGAGCACTGGCCTGCGAACCAAAGGGTCGCCTGTTTGATTCCCAGTCAGGGCACATGCCTGGGTTGCAGGCCTTAGTTGGGGGCGAGCAAGAGATAGCCACACATTGATGTTTCTCTCCCTCTCCTCCTTCACTTCCCCTGTCTAAAAATAAATAAATAAAATCTTTTTAAAAAAGAATAAGAAAAACAAATGCTAAAGGAGAAAACCTTTTGCTGTATATACACTGTCAATTTACATTTCCTAGAATTTGAAATACTTTTGATGTCAGAATAATCTTCATGAAATGAAATTCTAATTGTATTAACAGACTATGACCGTATTTTAAAAATACGAGACATGATCACCATAATTCAGTGACCTTTCGAAGGAGTGATTTCTATCACAGAAATCTCTGGTATAGTTGTATGTACAGGGTGGGGCGAAAGTACAGGTAGTTTTCAAGTTGTGAGTAGGTGAAACACAGAGTTTATTCTTGTATTTTTATTTATTATTGTATTATTTTCCATATAAGCAACTGCGAACCCACTTTTGCCCCCACCCTGTATATTATTTAATAAATATATGATTCATTTAAACACTGGTCATATTTATAACATCTGTGAGTGAGGTAGCATAGTAAACTCTCAGCATCAGGATTTGACTTTAGCTTCCTTAACTATTTATGAGCCCTATGATATAGTTTTGTTGAGATACAAGCTTGAATGTTATGTGTCGTAAAGCTGGCATTGGAGCATTCAGTTGGCTGATGAGTACATCTGACCTATCCAGACAACAGCATTTGCACTTCAGCCTCACTTCTACTTTCACATTTGCTACTCATTGTTATTTACCTGGCAGCTACGATAAAATGGTTTATACACATGCATACACGTACTTTGTTTCTTTGTGAAACACTCCAAGGAAAAAGCACAATTTATAAAGGTAATGATAGTGAGGGGATCCTAAGAAAACAGTGCTTTTATGTATAAAAATGGAAAGTAAATGGAAGAAACTAGATATAACAGTAGTAGCCGCCATAAAATATGCAAAGAATTTGAGATCCCTTCCATATCAGGTCATTTGTGTAATAGAGAATTGCATTTTCAGCCTTTGAGAACTTGTTGCATTTGATTATTTCACTGTATATCTATCATTCCATTCATGAATTATTTTAAAATTTCATAATCAAAGCTCCATGTGTCTCAGGTAGTGCAATTGTGTGCCATGTTGAAATAACAAATTAATATTATTCTGAACATAACTTTGCTTATGTTTATATTCATTTGATAACATCCAATTTTACAAAGTAGGAATGACATAGTTAGGAGCTTTTATACAGAACTCATTCTCCTTCACCTGGAGCTGTAGCGAAATCAAATTTATCTTCTTTGGTACATGGCTTTCTCCAACAGTAAAACTTGAATTGCTGTGCTACACTGAGGAATTTTCTCTCCCCAGATGTGTTACCTGCGAGGGATACGTTCCAAGGCCCCCATGGATAGAACCGAGCCCTGTATAGACTATGTTTTTTCCTATACATACCTAATATAAAGTTTATTTCATAAATTAGGCACAGTAAGAGATTAACAACAACTACTAATAGAACAATTATAACAGTGTACTGTAATAAAAGTTATGTGTGGCCACTGTTTCAGGGGTCCCTACTGAAGTCTTTGTACAGGCTCGGGGCCTTCTGGTGCAGCACCTTGTCATCACTGGGAACACTCTTCTGTTCATGTCTTCCACCCACACATTTAATGCCTTTTCCACCTCAGCACTTACGCACTGTGGCTTGGCTTTTCAGTGTGAAGTGTAACAACAAAATCAACACAAATTTCCTTTTCCTTCTTCACAATTCCACAAATAGAAGAGTTGTTCTTACCATAGGTCTTAGTAACTTCAGCATACGTTTTTTTTCTTTGTTAAATCGAGAACTTTCACATTTTCACTTAAGGGAAGCACTTACGGCTTCCCTTTGGTCTGTCTGAATTGCCATCATCACTACTATTGCACTCTGGGGCCATCACTAAGTAAAGTAGGGTGACTTGGACACTAGCCCTGCAGCATTGTGACAGCCGATCTGATCACCAGAACGGCGGCTAAGAGGCTAATGGTGGGCAGCACACATGGCGTGGATACACTGGACAGAGCTAACTCACACCCCAGGTCAGACAGAGCAGGACGGTGCAAGATTTCATCATGCTATTTAGACAGCGCACAATTTAAAATTTACGGATTGTTTATTTCTGGAATTTTCCATTTAATATTTTTGGACCATGGTTGACCATGAGCAGCTGAAGCCACAGAAAGTGAAATCATGGATAAGGGGGAGACTACTGTATGTAACCCCCTCACCCCATGTGGAAATTCATAAGGATTATTTCAGTGTTAACTCTTGACTGCTATTTTATTACTCCAACAAGTATCTCATTTATTCGTTCATTTAAATATTTAATGAGTGTCTCCTGTGAGCTAGGTATTGTACTAGACTCTAGGGAATCAAAGATGTATCAGACTCAGTGTCTAACCCATGGGAACTCATCTGGTTAGAGAAATAAACATATAATTAAGCTATCCTGTGAAATATTGTATTTTAAAAAGAATTAAGTAAGATAATATATATGGAAAAACTTAAATTTTGCAAAATTAAGATATTTTCCCCCAGCTTATATTACAATGTCTGTCATATCTTAAATGCTTGTTAGATTTCTTGAAAGAGTTGATGAAGAGCAAAGAGCCATGAAAACATAACATTATAAAGAGGAATTAGTTCAGCCTGGATGTATAGATGGGATGGGGAAGGCTTCACAAAGGATGTGACTTTTGAGCTGGACTTTGAAATATAAGCAGTTTACATTGAGAACCAGGAAAGGGGACTGCAGAGCAAGAGACACACTATGAGACATTAAAGTGCTTTAATCGATGTCACCATATATCTGTAGGCTTGTACAGTTTACAAGACACTCCTGTGTACATTAACTCTTTTGAACCTCATGACAACTCCATGAAGCACATTCATATGGCCACGCGCTCAAGCCTTGGCTAAAACTCAGGTTCTAGGGTATAAGAAAGAGTAACTAGTTACTTTATTCTTTATGGTTTCATGAATGTCATGGTTGGTAATAGTGTTGAATTTCTATGATTATATTTGTTAAAGAATTGTGAAAGAAACATACATATAATGAAAAATATTCAATTTTATTTATACATGCAGATTAACATATTGATATACAAGTTATTTTTAGATATTTCAGCAAAAATTAGAAAATACTTAGTATTTCATAGATTTTTTTTTATGATTCACGTAGTTTTTAAGGATTTTTAATCCTTCTTATACCATTTATGTAAAGAATAGCAGATGGCAGTGTGATTCCCCACATTGTTTAAGCTTTCTGCTTCTGCTATAGTTGAACACATTTGTTGACATTAAACATTTATTTGCACCAAAATGTTTGGTTAAAATACTTTGCAGAGGGAAAAAAGAAACAAAAATTGCTTCCCCACTTCAACTCGATTTCCTGTTGTGTGCATATTGTATGTGATCGAGACCTTGTGCTGTTGTTGAAAGAATACACACGCAGATCAGGGGGCGGAGTAGACAGCCCAGAGACGGACCCACACAGAGTCGGCTGGCCTTTGACAGAGAAGCAAAGACAATAGGAGAAAAGATAGTCTTTTCAACACATGGTGCTAGATTTCCACTTTCATCTTTGTTTCTCTGTGTTTTCCAAATGTCATCTGTAAAATAAAATCTGTTAGCACTAAAACAGGTTTTCGTATCCTACTACACTTTAATTACATTCTGTTAACAGACTTTAAGGTCTCTCTGGTGAACTGTAAGTGAAACAGTGGATCACCATAATGCTTGATGTAAATGATCTGATTAGTCGATGATAACTTCATCAGTTGCAGTTTACAAAGGGATCTATTTAAAATTTGTATTATGTACTTGTTTGTTTTCTCAATTACTTGCTCACACATTTACTTGTTATTTACTTAATCACCTGCTCTTAAATTTTAAATGAAGATTCCAGTTAGGTGCGATCTAAGTGATTTGCCAAGTTCTGTAAGTGGTGGGTGTCACACTAGCTGGAAGTGTGTACATATATATTCCTTTTACATATCTAAGCATTTGTATATATTTCTATTAACAAGTAGGTCTTCTTATCATTGCCATTTTACAGATGACAAAACCAAAGCACAGAGTAACTTGCCTAATATCACAGAGCTACCGTATTTTTCAGACCATAAGACGCACCTAGATTTTAGAGGAAGAAAATAGGAAGAAAATTTTGAAGGAAAAAATGTGGTAAAATATTTAATAACATAAATAACATACTATTTCACCAATGTAAATGCAAACAGAACTTAACAGCAGCATTAACAACCATTATTCCTCCCAAATGGTGGGGGGGGGCGGGGGAGGGGGTCTTATAGTCCAAAAAACATAATTGGTAGACCCAGCATTCACAAAGCCACACACAGTCTGGCTTTTAATCCTTCCGTCATCTTTGACATTTTTTGAAATTCTTAATCATAGGATGTATATAAAATATTTGTGACATTTTTGAAGCTCCTCTTTGTTCCCTGATTCATATAGTAAATTACATTTCCTGGTCCACTGTTTTATCATGAAACTTCACCCTATTAGTTTATAGAATGAATGTAGAATTTAGTTATTTATTTATTTTTAAGTATATTTTATTGATTATGCTATTACAGTTTTCCCAATTTCTCCCCCTTTGATCCCCCCTCTACCCCCAACCCTCCAGCACCCCTCCCCGTAGTTCATGTCCATGGCTTGTACATACAAGTTCTTTGAGTTCTCTGTTTCCTATACCATTTTTAGCCTCTCCCCATCTATTTTATGCCTACCAGTTATGCTGCTTCTTTCCTGTACCTTCCCCCCATTCTTCCCTTCCCCCTCCCCACTGAAAACCCTCCATGTGATGTCCATTTCTCTGATTCTGTTCCTGTTCTAGTTGTTTGCTTAGTTTTTGTTTTCATTGTTTATCTTTTCTTTTAGGTTCATTTGTTGATAGTTGTGAGTTTGTTGTCATTTTACTGTTCATATTTTTTATCTTTTTCTTAGATAAGTCCCTTTAACATTTCATATAATAATGGCTTGACAATGATGAACTCCTTTAACTTGACCTTATCTGGGAAACACTTTATCTGCCCTTCCATTCTAAATGAAAGCTTTGCTGGATAGAGTAATCTGGGATGTAGGTCCTTGCCTTTCATGACTTGGAATACTTCTTTCCAGCCCCTTCTTACCTGCAAGGTTTGTTTTGAGAAATCAGCTGATAGTCTAATGGGAACTCTTTTGTAGGTAACTCTCTCCTTTCTTATTGCTGCTTTTAAGAGTCTCTCTTTATATTTAGTCTTGGATAACTTAATGATGATGTGCCTTGGTGTGTTCTTTTTTGGGTCCAACTTCTTTGGGACTCTCTGGGCTTCCTGGACTTTCTGGAAGTCTGTTTCCTTCTCCAGATTGGGAGTTTTCCTTCATTATTTTTTCAAATATGTTTTCAATTTCTTACTGCTGTTGTTCTCCTTCTGGCACCCCTGTAATTCGGATATTAGAACATTTCAGGTTGTCCCAGAGAATCCTCAGCCTCTCTTCATTTTTTTTAAATTCTTGTTTCTTCATTCTGTTCCAGTTGGATGTTTATTTCTTCCTTTTGTTCCAAATCGTTGCTTTGAGTCCTGGTTTCCTTCCTATCATTGTTGGTTCCCTGAATATTTAGCTTTATTTCATTTTGGGTATCTTTCATTTTTTTCATTTTTCAACTCAGTCATTTCAATGAGCAATCAGTCCATTTGGTCCAAGCTCAATCAGTTCTGTGAGCATTTTGATTTACCAGGGCTTAAAATTCTCCATTAGATAGGTTGGCTATCTCCTCATCGCTTATCTCCGTTTCTGAAGCTTTGCTCTGTTCTTTCATTTGGTCCATATTTCTTTGTCTTGGTGTACCCGTCTGGTTTTTCTGTTTGACTGTTTCTTTAATCCCTTGGTTGTCAGAGCTCCATGCAATTAGATTGTCTGGCACTTCTGGTTCTTTATTGCTTTCAGATTGGTTGTTATCCTCCTTTTGGTTGTGTGAGGAAGTGAAGGATTTCTACCTATGCCTCTATTTTGGCCGGAACTCTCCTGTTTGTTTATTTTTGAAGTGATAGCTATATAACTTTCAGGGTTACATTATAATTTGACATCTGTATATACACGAGATTGCTCACCAGCAAAATCCTAGTATTCTATTCATATTCATCTATTTGACCCCCTTTAGGCATTTCACCCCACCCCCTTCTCCTCTGGTAACTCCAGTCTGTTGTCCATAGGTATGAGTGTGTTTTTGTTTTATTTTGTTTAGAAATTCTTTTGGAAAGAAGCATTTGGGAAAATATGCAGGTGTTTATTTGAGTGCCTGTTGTGCACCATGCCCTGTGCCAGGGGGATCCAGATATCTGGGCGTTTTCCCCTACTTTCTGTGGGGAAGGTACCCCTTTACCAAAGTTAGCTTCCTGTAAATTCCTCCCTGCAATGGTTTTGGGGTGGAGTTTCTTTTATTCCAGTGTGTGATGCATAAAGGCAGACACTTCACAGAACAAGGGAGCACTTGGTTTCTTTATTCAGATTCTGAAGCGTGATAAGCTGAGATTTGGTTTAGTTTCCCAAAGAAGGAAGGAACTTTAAAGTGTAAATAATTACTACTTATGGATATCAGAACTGTATTTGCCTGTCCTGTCTCAACAAGTTGGTTGTAATTCTTAAGCTTAGAATAGGCAATAGTGACAACTTTTGAGCTCTCTAGATTAAGGAAGTTTCATTTATTTATGCTGACATTAAAACTGTTCTGATTTTAAGCTTCTCTGTGAAAGAAATAGGTTTAAGCCAACAAATAAAAGTAAGGTGAAAATTATATGTGTGGATAAATTAAACTTATTTCAGAGTCCAGAATCTTCTTCAAATGCTGTCAGAAGTCGGGGTATTCTGTTTAATAAATGGCTGGAAAATTAATCTACCTAGAAAATAATAGAAAAGTTAAGTACAAGTTTTAAATGTGCTTTTAATAATTCCAGAATTTGAATTTCTTTTTATTGCAGCTCAGATCGTCTGATAGAAGAGACAATAAGGTAGGAATATTTTTTGTTTTACTTTATTATAGTTTTTTGTTTGCACATAAATGAACAAATCAGGTTAACCCTATAATTAAAGTTAATTCACCCCCCCTTAAAGATCAGACTTTAATAACATCATAATGTATTTTTACTATATCTTTTCCTTATAAGAGACATTTGAAGCCCAAAATATTTTTTCCAGAAATACTAGAATTAGGCTATTTTACCTAGGTTGATTTTTCTGATTAATTTATATTCAGTTTTTTCAGCCTCCATCTTTTTTTTTTTTTTAAGATTTTATTTATTTATTTTTAGAGAGGGAAGGGAGGGAGATAGAGAAAGAGAGAAACATCAATGTGCGGTTGCTGGGGGTCATGGCCTGCAACCCATGCATGTACCCTGGCTGGGAATCGAACCTGGGACACTTTGGTTCCCAGCCCGCACTCAATCCACTGAGCTACACCAGCCGGAGCCTCCATCTTTTTATTCTCATTTTTTAATGGAAAACAATCTTAAACATGTCATTTGGTAAATGTCTTATACCATTTATGTGGACTTGGTGTGAATAGCTGTAGAAAATATGCGTGAGAATATTTAGTATTATCTGTAATAACATTGAAGTCATTTGTTGCTTCAGGAAGAGACATTTATTTTTTGGTTTGACCTGCTTAATTCTCTAGGGTTAATGAATTTTTAAATACCTATTTTATGACAGTAAGAAAGTAAGTTAGCTAGGTGTGGTCTCTGCACTTTGGAATGCAGTAATGTCTGAAGCGTTGCTTTTCAGGAAAGGTAGGTTGCAGCACATGGCAGCGGCAACAACACTGGCATTCTCACTGTGGGCTTGGTGTGGTGCTCAAGTGCTTTACCTGCTTCCTTTTGTTTAGTCTCCTCAGTAACCTATGAGATAGACACTGATCAATTAGACATCTATCTCCAAAACAAAAAAGAAATTAAGATTAGTGATACACCTCTGGCCACTTGACTAATAAGTAGTATTGGAGAGTCTGTGTCTCTCTAACTCCAGCGCCAGGGCTCTGTCTAAACCACTACTGCACTGACCGCCTTGTAGAAAGAGGACACGCTTTGGAGTGGGATTTGCTTTGAACCCTGGTTGTGCTATTATTAGGCCTCTATTTTAGAGTAAGTTACCTGGGGCCTCCATTTTATTATGTGTTTAAAAACATGGGATTGATGGGAATACCTGCCCTAAAAGATTGTTGTGAAGATTAAAGATAATATGAGTCAAGTGGCTGGTGCACTGCCTGGCCAGTACTAGGTAATCTGTAAGTGGTAGCTTATTTTTTTTAATATATTTTATTGATTTTGCTATTACAGTTGTCCCATTTCCCGTGCTTCATTCCCCTCCACCCTGCACACCTTCTCCCACCCACATTCACCCCTAAAGTTCATGTCCATGTGTCATAAGTTCTTTAGCTTCTACATTTCCCATACTATTCTTGCCCTCCCCCTGTCTATTTTCTACCTAGCATCTATGCTACTTATTCTCTGTACCTTTTCCCCCTCTCTCTCCCTCCCATCCCCCTGTTGCTAACCTTCCATGTGATCTCCATTTCTGTGGTTCTTTTCCTGTTCTAGTTGTTTGTTTAGTTTGTTTTTGTTTTAGGTGTGGTTGTTAATAATTGTGAGTTTGCTGTCATTTTACTATATATGTTTTTTATCTTCTTTTTCTTAGATAAGTCCCTTTAACATTTTATATAATAAGGGCTTGGTGTTGATGAACTCCTTTAACTTGACCTTATCTGAGAAACACTGTATCTGCCCTTCCATGCTAAATGAAAGCTTTGCTGGATAGAGCAATCTGGGATGTAGGGACCATGTAGGTCCCTTTCATGACTTGGAATACTTCTTTCCAGCTTCTTTTTGCCTGCAAGGTCTCTTTTGAGAAATCAGCTGACAGTCTGATGGGAACTCCTTTGTAGGTTACTGTCCCCTTATCTCTTGCTGCTTCTAGGATTCTCTCCTTCATTTTATTCTTGGCTAATGTAATTATGATGTGCCTTGGTGTGTTCCTCCTTGGGTGCAACTTCTTTGGGACTCTCTGAGCTTCCTGGACTTCCTGGAGTCTTCCCTTTGCCAGATTGGGGAAGTTCTCCTTTATTATTTGTTCAAGTAACTTTTCCATTTGTTGCTCTTCTTCTTCTCCTTCTGGTACCCCTATAATTTGGATGTTGGAACGTTTAAAGATGTCCTGGAGGTTCCTAAGCCTCTCCTCATTTTTTTGAATTCTTGTTACTTCATTCTTTTCTGTTTGGTTGTTTCTTTCTTCCTTCTGGTCCACTCCATTGATTTGAGTCCCAGTTTCCTTCCCATCACTATTGGTTCCCTGTGCATTTTCCTTCATTTCACTTAGTGTAGCCTTCATTTTTTCATCTAATTTGCAACTGAACTCAACCAAATCTGTGAGCATCCTGATCACCAGTGCTTTGAACTGTGCATCTGATAGGCTGGCTATCTCTTGGTTGCTTAGTTGTATTTGCTGTAGCGCTTTGATCTGTTCTTTTGTGTGGGCCACTTTTTTTTTTTTTGTCTTGTCACACCTGTTACATATGAGGAGTGGAGCCTTAGGTGTTCACCAGGGCAGGGCAACCCAGCTGCTGGGTTGTGCACTATATGTGGGGGCAGGGTCCAAGAGGGAACAATAGTGCTTGCTCCTCTCTCTGTTAGATTTCAGTCCCTTCCGCCGCTTCCCCCAAGCCAACTGGGCCCTTCTGGTGCTGACTCCCGTGTGGGTGGGCCTGTGCATGTTCTAGGACCCCGTGAGTCTCTCCAATGAACTCTCCTGTGAGGCTGGGAGTCCCTCCTGGCACCTCAACCCCCACAGGTGTTTTCAATCAGTGTTTTGAGGCTTTATTTCCTGGCACTGGGACCCTGGGTTGCATGGTGTGTCTCGCTCCCCAGTTTTGCCTGGTTTATCTGTGCTCGAATGTGGGACACCCGGTCAGCCAGCTGCCTTGCACGCAGTGCCTCACTTCACAATCGCCGCCTCACTGGGTCTGCCCATTGCCACCCTGTGTCCGGGGTCTGCCAGCTGCTGTCTTGCGTGCTTGGGATGCCGTGTGCGCCAGGTGCCACCGCTTTTTGTGCCATGACCCCTCTCCACCCGACCGCCCAACTCCGCCCCTCCTACGCATCTGGATGATTGTGTCTATTCTAACTCCTTGATTGTCCTGGACTTCCATGCAGTTCAATTTTCTGTCAGTTCTGGTTGTTATTTTGTTTCTAAATTGTTGTTGTTCTTATTTTGGTTGTTCGAGGAGGCACAGTGTGTCTACCTACGCCTCCATCTTGGCCTAAAGTTCAAATGGTAGCTTATTAACACATTCTTTTTACTTTTTATTTGATACCATTTCAAATTTCAGAAGACTTCCAGTAGTACAAAAGATTCTCATGTACCCTTTACTAAATTCCCCAAATGTTAGCATTTTGCTACATTTGCTTTTTCACAATATTTCCCCCCTGAACTACTTGGAAATAAGTTGCAGAAATGATGCCTGTTTACCCCTAAATATTTCAGTGTTCTTAGCCTACATATATTGATATGGACTTGTGGATTCTTATTTTATTCAATGGGTTATAATGTTTCTATTATTTAATAGTATTAATAAATTATAATTTTTTATAATACAGTTTTACATCTCAGAATTTTGTTTAAATTGCATGCACTTGGGTTTTCCATCTGAACTCAGGTAGTTTTTACAGAACTGCCTGCTTGTCAACTGGAGGATCTCCTTGTGACACTTCCTTTCCCTTTCATCAGCACATGGAGTCAGATCCCATTTTGCCACAAATTTTTAGTTTCCTATAGCCCTTTTCCTTTTTTTCTTCCTTTTATTTCCTCCTCTTTCTGCCTGATCTTATAGGGCCAGGCTGTCTTAATTAAGCTTTTAAATTCAATGCAGGCCTATTTAAAAGTTGGTATATGAGTAAAAAAATTTGGAGTGCGTCATAGGATGGGAACATTTGAGAACCATTGAATCACTGCTACTATTATTTTGCTAATTAAAAAACAAAAAACATGTCATTAGAAGGTCTTTCATTTCACTAGTGCCCTTTGTGTCAAAATGATAGGTATCACTTTAAATTTCACTGACTATAAAGCTAGTTATGATTACTTATGGATGATAATATTACTTATGGATGATTTTTAAGTGTCAAATAAATATTTTTACATATTCTGTATGTAAAATTTTTTTTCTTTTAGAAATAAATTTTAAAAGTACACAACTTATTGTAAACTTAAGCATCAATTTATTGAAATTATATTTTAATATTTATATATTCTTTAGCTTTAACTATATAACTGGTATTGTCTTTTGTTGAAAAAATATATCTGAGTAGTTTGCAAAATAGGTAAGAAAGTTGAAGTTCCAGTAAGCACATCAGTGATTTATCATTTTAAAAGCATTATATACTATTTGGAGCCTATGATTTGCCTCTTAGTATTTGACCCTAGAGATAGCAACAGCCCAGACTTCACTCAGCTTGACTCCAAATAATGATACGAGATGGGAAAGTATGTCTAGATATACTTTGTGTGGTACTGGAAGTCATGCATATTCAACAAAAGAAGAACATAATGTATGGTGATGCTATCCATTCTCCAAGGAATACAAAGTGCTCTGCAGAAATTATTTTTTAATCTTCTCTATCTACTTCTGAGTCAGAGTGCACAGGAGTTGGGAATAGTCTCAGTTTAAAAAACAGAGGCATGAAATGATTCAAAGATTGGCCTCAGATCACTCAGCCCAGTGTTGAATTCTGTTACTTTATGTAAGACCATAAGGTCAACTTTGAAACATCCTGTAAAGTAAATTTATTTTAAAACAACCACATTTTAAATGTATCACATGCTGTCATAGATATACACTTAAACTGCAAAATGATAAGAACTAATGACATAAAGGACATTTTTAGTTTGACTCTAACTACTGTGCTTTTTGTTTTTTTGGATCTAAAATTCAGTATGTTATAAAGTTGACATTGCCTGCTTC